TTGTTTATTTTTTGTTTTTTGAGACAGGGTCTCACTATGTAGTTGAGACTGACCTGGAACTCATTTTGTAACCCAGGCTGGTCTCAAACTCTCAGTGATCCTCCTGCTTCAGCCTCCCAAGTGCTGGGATTACAGGCATGCGCCACCACACTTGGCTACCGCACCATCTTTTGTAAATTATTTTACAAAATTTTTACATATTTCTAAAATTTTATATCATTTCCTCATAATGAGAATAATCCAACCTTGCTATTTTAAAATGGAGATATGTTATACATAGAAGATTAAAATTTTTTCTCTCCAGTCCCATTGATGTTTGCAATTTAAAAAGTAGCACATATATTTTCAGATTTCTCTTGAATGTAATAATGCACATACATTCTTTTTTGTAAAAGATGTCACTGTATGATGTAGGTATCTAGAAATTTGCTTATTTTTAGACTATACCTTGGATATCTTTTCTTATCTTTGCATCTGGAGTTAGTCCATTCCTTTTACAGCTAAATAGAATTCAATATTGTAAATTAATATCCTATGTGACTATTACATGATTTGTTTTACAATTCGTCTGAATCCTTTATCAAGAGTATACAGGTAAATATCTTCTGTTTGAACCAGTGTCTGGACTGTGGGCCTATATTAACTGCTAGAAAAGCACAAGCAACCAGGTAACCAGCTTCTTCAATCTACAAAAAAAAAAATCCAACCTCAGCTAAAGACAATGGTGCGTGTGTGTGTGTGTGTGTGTGTGTGTTCAAGCGCTTTAAGAAATAGATGACTAACTTTTCAGCTCCATTAAGGTTTCTGAAAAACTCTTAAAAGTACACAGAATCTAACATATTATTAGTACTCCAACTCCTGAGTCTTTTATTACTTATATTTGAGCCTAATTCATTGCTTTTTTTTCTTTCATTACATATACAGATTTGAATATATCATTTAAAATTAGCGATTGACCTGCATATTTGAACATCACTTTATGTTTATTGTTTACACCATTTTGGAAAAGGTAATCCCTCCACAAACAATTTTAAATTTTCATTTCAATTATTTTATGGTATTGTAGTTGCTAGGTGACTTATAAAAGGAAATAGAAAATTAGTCCTTTGTTCCGTTGACATGTTTTACTCCTAGAAACCCTTTATTACTAGTCATACTTGTTGTTTTTTATATTAAATGCCTCTCATGTTTATAATCTCTTGGATATTTTTATTATAATACAAAAAGGAATATACTATTCTCTTGATAGAGGTATAAACATCACCTTTTCATATCATTAAAAAGGCAATTTATTTAAACATTGAGTATTGCCTGACAAACTCAATTCTCAGAGGTAGATGAAGCTGCATAATTATATAATACTTTAGATTATTATACAAATTCCACCAAAACAAAGAGATTTGTTAGAAACACAATGAACATTTGCAGAGTAATATAAAAATAATATCCCTAACAAATTTTCATTTAGGATTATCATATCACTTTTTTCAAAATAAGAAAGCTTTATTTAACACAGCCATTACTGCTTTTTGACTAACAACAAAATGCCATATTTTAAAGTTAGCTTCTGAAACCTCATGAAGTATTTTTCCCTGACAGGTTTAATCGGATCACCATTTTCCCCACTCTGGTTTCTAGAGGAATAAAAAAAAAATCCAAGTATTAATTCCCTCACAGAAATGAGACTCACGAAAAGACACCTGTTTCCATTACTCCAAAGCAGCATTCTCTTTTCACCTTTATACCAAATCCTCTAGAAGTCTCCGAAAATAACTCATTTTGACTACAGCCCTTACCTCTAAGCTTCTCTTCAGCTGAAGCCTCCTCAGTCTGTACCACGGTCCTTCCCCGCAAACTGCCAGTTTAGCGAGCTTCCAAGCTTAAAAGATGCTCCGCCCACTCTCTGTGATAGAGGAACGCAGGTCTTTGCTCAGGGAGAAGAGTCACCAAGTTAAACCAAAGCTCTGTTAAAGAGAAGAAACGTACCATTTTTTTGAATTTTAAAGCTTAGTGGCAAGATATCTGTTCAAGTTTCATTCAATACCCTAGGGTGAGAGATTTCCTGGAAAAATAATTTTTAAAGAAGGGATAATTTTTTTTGTAATAAAAACAGCATTTCAAACATTTCTTGCTTTTTGTTCCAGCCCTCTCTTGTATTTTATTTCTGGTAGATTTAAGACTAATCGAGTTCTACACAATAACAACAAAAGCAATAAAACATGCTAAGTATCTTGATTGGGATAGCAATGAATTGGTATTTAATTTGTGTTAGAAGTAATTCTTTATAGTTTTGAATTGGAACCTAAGACAAAATGTCTCTCCTTTGCTTTGAGTTTGTTATGCTTGCTTACTTTGGTAATTGCTGAGGAAAACCTCTCAAAAGCTGATTTTACTTAAATCAGAAAAAAATCCTATCAATGGTAGGACTCTGGTGAACCAAATTTAGAAAACACCCATGAATGTAGAAGTGTTTTTTAATGTAAGTGATTAAACAGAAACATCTTTAAGGTGGTTTTTATATTTCAATAAGAAAGAAATAAAAAAAAAAGGAAATAAGTTGGGGCTTTGGCTCAGTGGTTCCACCGCCTGCTTCGCAAGCACAAGGACCCAAGTTCAATCCCTGGTAGCAAAAAAAGAAAAATGCATGGAGCACATGGATGTGACTTTGTTAGTGGTTCTGTGGCCTGACTTGCAAACACAAGGACCCGAGTTCAATCCCCGGTACCCCCCAAAAAAAGGAAAGAAATGAATAAGAGAGTGGAGAAAGGGCCAAGGGACACAAGCAAACAATTCACTAATTACTGTTACTCCTGATAGTTACTTTTCAGCGAAGAAAGCAGTGCATGCAACTTTGAGGGCTGCTTTTTCTTCATTACAGAGACAGGATTCTCTATATCTTGGCTATTGCGAATAGTGCTGCAATGAACATGAGCTGCAGATACCTCTTTGAGATAGTGTTATTGTTTTCTTTGGATATGTACTCAGAAGTGGGATTGCTGGATCATATGGTAATTTGATTTCTGGAAACTTTGTGCTATTTTCTAAAATGGATATATCAATTTGTATTCCCACCAACCATATGGAAGAGCTCCCTTTCCTCTACACCCTTATCAGCATTTGTTGTGCTGTGACTTTTACATAATAACTATCTATCGTAAGAAATATGAGGCGATATCTTAATGTGGTTTTGATTTATATTTCCCTGATTAGTGATGTTGAGCACCTTCTTCTATTTTAAAATAGGGTTGCTTTTAGCTACTGAATTTTGTTAATTCCTATATATTTTGGTCATGAGTTCTTTATAGATGTCTGGTCTACAAATACTTTCTCCTATCCTTGAGTTGTCTTTTCATTTTATTGATTGCTTCCTGTGTTGTGAAAAGATATTTTGGTTTGATGTAGTCCCACTTGTACATTTATGTGACTTTTAATAGTAATTTCTTTTGTAGGCTCAGATATAATTTCAAAATTGAAAGTATATCAATACTGCAACTCTATAAAAATATTTTCTGCTCATGAGAGTCTGTACAAAATTGTCAAATCATTTCTGCTAATGTGTATCAAGAATGAAAAACTGAATACCATTGTTCATTGAGAAATAGAAACCTTAGGAACAGAGAACTGATAAACTTTGTTTTTTTAAAAAATGTTCAAGACCATGAGAAACATTATTATTTAGACTAAACTGAATCTCTGAGAAGTTGCTTTTTTATTTTTGTTATCATTTTTTGTTTTTTTAGTATTAAATGTTTTAAAAAACAGTAATCATAAACATGCCAAAATATAAAATATTGAAAATAGAAATGTTGGCAAGGATGAGGAGCAAAAAATAAAATTCATACAATGATGGCTGGTGTATACATTGAAACCAAGATTTCGGGAAATGTTTTGGCATTATTACCTAAAGCTAAACATTATAGAAGTCAACCGAAAGCCATTTAGGGCTTATAAGTGGACTAATGGCAAGTCTGAATTAACAGTAGAGAAATGAGCTCCACAGAATACAGTTGGGACTCCAGAGCCTACATTAAACTATCCAGCAAGGCATAGGAAGTAAATGTTTAGAATTTAGTTTTTTTCATTTTTATTTATTTTATGAGCTATTTATAAATAAGCTTTTAAATGCACACAACAAATTCTTACTTAATGCAATTAAGATTTTATAAAAAAGTCCAACTATTGGGGGCGAATGTAAAAAATCTGAGAATCGGGATAATTAAATACATGGAGATACAGGGCTATAAGCACACAACGCCTTCCCATTTGTCTTTTTTCTGGATGATTTGGGATTATCTTCTCATTGAAAGACTAATTAATTTGAACTTATTAAATTTCTCATATTCTGATTTCATTGCTCAGAAAAGTTGACACTACTCTCATGAAATGTTTAAGGTAATAATGAGAAACTGCATTATAATGAGGCAAGTTTTTAAAAAAAGGAATGGTTCTTATAAACTTCAGACAATGAGGTAAAATATGTGGGTAACAGCTATTTCATTAGACTCTAATATTATACAGGCAAGCTTTTAATACCAACAATTTTTGTTTTTTTTAATGTCGACCTTAATTTGATTTCTAGGTTCTTTATTGATTTCTAGATCATGAAAGTAATAAGTATAAAACAATCTTTATTTAATTTCTTATTTACATATGAAGTTATTTTTATAAAGAATGAATTAAAATTATAATAATGTATATATATATCATTTTCTAACATATTAAGAGGCTAATTATATTTTAAAGCTCAAGTTTAAGGCTTTCTGTAACATAAACTTACATGAGCTCATATATTTATTTATATGGGCCTATATATTTTAATACATATATAATGGTACAATAATTTAAATAGTATTTTTGGGAGAATAGAAAGTAGCAGGCTAAATAAAATAAAAAATAACCTTAGAATACACAATTTGTTCTCATAGTGAAATCATGTGAATTTATTATTTATTTTTCATTTATTCCTTCAAGACAGGAAAGGATTTAATGTTTAATCCATATGTAGATTGTCAATGCACAAGAATTAGTGCGCTTTTATGCCGCTTCAATTTGCTCACAGATTCTTTATTTCAGGAAAAGCTGCAGGTTTTATTTGCTGTGTCCCATTCTACTATATTTATTTTAAACATAGTATTGTCACTATAGTTAATTATATAGACATGGAAAAAGCCATTCTCTGTTTTGAGGTATTTATGTTTGAATTTTACTTGAGCAGCTAGTTTCCCTTAGCAGCCTCTTTTATCTTTCAATTTAACCATAAGTTTAAATAAAAATTTCAAGGTATCTCTCACTCCAAATCATCTTTTTCAGTTTGCAGATGGCTAGAAAATAATACAAAAGGTGTACTGCCCCACTTTATAAAAGAAAGGATAAAAATGTACTTACTTGTATTTGGCGTGCTCCATATTTTATAATTAGATGCACAATACTAGAAAAATTACTATCTTTTTCAGATAATGCACTGTCACCTCTTAAAGAGAAATTCATCTTCGCCTAGATTAACTCTGCACAACTAATCATTTATTGAAATAACTATGTTATGGTAACAATCTTTTCAGGATGGGTAAAAGCCTGTTATTATTCATGTATGATGGAAAACACAACACTTTACAAATACATGCATAAGAATTCATTCCTCCTTTATTATTTCTTGTTTCCTAATGATGAGCGCATATTATGAAAGATTTTAAAAGCTCTCGAGATTTGTTAGTCAAATCTACAAAATGTTTTTACAATTACTTATGACAATTATTGTCTAAGCCTTTGACAAAGAGTCATGGTTAGGTCCATATGGTTATGTATATACCCAACAGGGAAGTGTTGCTCCTCCACTTTGATGCATTCAATCACTCTAATAAATTAACTAAAACCTATCAGTTTGGCATCCCGCCTATGAATTTAAGGGATCCTCTCATAAGGATTGGGCATTATGGAATAAAGATCTAGAAACAGCCTTATTGTGAAACGATGGTTTACAAAACATTTCATAATGAAATGGATTAAACAAAGGCCTGAGATTCAAAGTTTCCCAGGCTGTTTCAGTCCAGAAGCAGGGAACTTCAAAAGGTCAACTGCTAATCTCAAGACAAATGCAACAAAAATTAGTTACATGAGACTGAGGGAGGATTAAAAGAAAGGAATGAGAAAAATCTAATTGTGATTATTCACTTTGGGACATTTTAGGTACTGTGTTTAGTATTTACTAGTTTGATTTTATACCGTGAAATTTTTCTTTTTATTATTCTCATCCTATTTCTCCTCTTTTAAAAATTCTAATTCTCAAGATAACAGAATAACAAGGATATTTTACTTTTTAAGTGCTTTAAAGTTCAAATGATCAAAAAAGCAAAAGAGATTTTGTGTGCAGCTCATGGTATAAAATTTTAAGACGAAACAGAGTTAATTCTACAGATATCACAACAGATGGTATACCTCATCAGAATCCAGAAACATAAAATTTCCTATATATCTAGATATAGATATAGATATATTAAGAAATTTAGTGTAAAAAGACTGCAAATATGACTTTTTCAAGGGAATAAAAATTCAAAGAGGAGGATTCTGAATATATAGGATATTGTTCATTAAGCCCACTATTTAGCCTTTTTATGTTGCCAGGGAGGCATACAGCAGGATGGTTACATGTTTCCCATTTTCAATATGACATGCAGTATTTCAGATGTCAATTTATTTCCCATCTCTGCCATGTATTAGTTATGTAATTTAAAAAAAATTTAAACAAGAAATTAGTTTCATTTACATTTATGAATGGGCAGGAAAACAGGCTTTGGGGAAGGCATCTTGTTAAGAATAAGGCATTAAAAGAGCCAGCAAGGTATGTGTCAAACTGTAC